CCCTCAACAACTAACCTAAAGGTTGGCAGTTCAAACTCACCCAGTAGTAGTGCGGAAGAAAGCCTTGGCAATCTGCTTCAGTTAAGGTTACAGCAATGAAAACCCTTGGAGCAGTTCTACTCTGTAACACATGGGGTCGCCATGAGTTGGAATCCACTCTACGGCAACAGGTTTTATCATACTGAATATGTGCCAAACAAAACTTAGTCGTTTCATCTGGAAAAGACCTACATATGATCATATGTGTTAGGGTAATTAGTAAAGGCCTGAAGAGAAAGTGGAGCACTGGTGGTGCAATGGTTAAGAGCTCGGCTGCTAACCAAAACGTCAACAGTTTGAATCCACCAGCCACTCCTTGCAAACCCTATGGGGGCAGTTCTACTCTGTCCTGTAGGGTCGACTATGAGTCGGTACTGACTCGAGGGCAACGGATTTGGGTTTGGTTTTGGTTTTGAAGAGAAGGTAGCATCTGAAAAGGGTCTGATTTCAATAGGATTTAGGAGCAATTCAGAGCTAAATTAAGTACTCGGGAAAGATAAAAGGAGAGGCCTCAGACACCTGCCTAAAGCCCACGGTGCATGCACCCTGGTGGGGTTTAACATTATCATCCATCATTTAACTTCTCGGGCGCCGGCACCACTAGATTCTGCGTGGGGCTTGAAAAGATAACCACATCTGAAGGGCTGCTAACCGAAAGGCCGGCAGTCCGACTCCACTAGCCCCTTCTCAGAAACCCTCTGGAGCAGTTCTACTCTGTTCTATAGGGTCACTATGAGTCGGAATCGACTCGACGGCAATGGTTCGGTTTTGGGAGGTTTTATAGCTGAAGGACAGGGTCCGCCCTCTCAGCAAACGCGAAGAGAGGTACACACGGCGTGCTTTCCAGAGGACGAGGAAAGGCATTTTCTTCAGACGTCTCTGCGCTTACCCTTGAAGTACACACGGGGTTTTGCTCCGCGATGAAGCCAGAGGGAAAAGACTGGGATCCGCAGGCTGCCCTCCCGGGGAAGGATCGCCTACACCTTCCGCAACCCCGTCCTTCTTTTGGGGAGAAGAGGGTGGCCGGCCGCAACGTGTCGCCGCAGAAAGGCCAGTGAAACGCCCCATAACTAGATGAGTTCACAGTGCTGGGGTTCAGGTTCTGCAAGCTCGCACCTCAGAAGAGAGCCGGCCTCTATGAAAGCCTCGGTGGGTGGCGGGGTTCCCCAGCCCGGTGCGCGCTCTGCCCCACCCGCCATGGCTGTGAAGGGTCGCAGACTCTCCCCGCCCACGTTCGCGGAGCGGCCCGCTGAGTGGCCCGAAGATCATGCCCGCAGTTTGCCCGCTCGGCCCCCAGTCCTTCGGGGACGGTGGCGCTCGAGCGTCCCTGCCCAGCAGTCTTTCGGAGGAATGCACTGGGGCAGGGTGGACTTTTATTTGCACCTCCTGAGTCATGTTTGTTCCAATGTATGTATCCGTACAAGTCTATGTGTGACCTCAGGTGTCTGAATAAAGCCATACATGAGTGACGAACGTCCTTTCGCGCCGACATTCACGCGCTTCTGAAGCGAGCGGCGCGCGCCGCACAGCGGAAATGACGCGATGCGTGCGCACGTTTCCCGCCCTGCTCTGCGCCTGCCTTTCCGTGGCGGGAACGTTGGCGGCTGCAGGGACCGCGGCGACTCTAAATTCCACCAGATTTGGTATCTTGGAACTTCCTGGGCCTGTTACTCTCAGCTTGGGGGAACGGAGCTAACACTTCGCGACCACCCTGTCCTTCCCAGAAACCCCACGAACGAGGCGGTGTCGTCCTCGCTGCGGAGACGAGTGGCTGGAAGGCCCAGGTTGTGCCCGGGTCCCCGCGCGC